TTATATTCACATAAAAGTTGCCTGCCAATGTTTGTGGTAGTTGTCAGGGGGCATCCTCAGCAGTGCACCCCCCAAGTGTCAATTGGATGATTTTGGAGACAGACAGATGGATGAAAGGAGATTCCTTCTTTTCTATTTAAATATTTAAAAAATGTATACTAAATAGTTGGTTAGAGAAGTGCTGTGTTGTGGAGCTGGGTGGCTGTAGACAGCCAATCAGAAACCTATTTGATGTAGAGCCCTTGTTTTACTTTTATTTGACTGGCTCAGGGTCAGTTGGAATGTCTAGCTTACAACTGATGTAAACAAAGCATAATAAAGCAGCTTTATTATTAAGTTACAAGCCAGTGTGGGGATTGTCATTATTGTCATGTGTTTACATGGTTGACCGCTGCTATTTACTCTGTACATAAATAATATATATTTTCCAACTTTGCACTGTAATGCCTTTTCTTATGCTTCTTGTATGCCATTGTACCCACCACAAACCAGGGCTTCTCCAGGTTAACATCTGCTTTCGATGACCTCCCAGTCTCTGTTCAATTTAAAGCTTGATGTAAACTCTTAAATTATGTGTACATTTCACAAGAGCGCACAATCGATATTTCTCAATCCAATCCATGCTCTAAATGGAGATCTAATTGATCAAGCTGCTTACGCTCCCCCTGGCACCACAGTGCCTTTCGATTCAATACACAAGACAGCTATCACAGTCACCACTGGAAGTTATATGAAAACTAGCATTAGCGTGTTTTTATGGAGCATTTGAGTTAGTATATTGTTGTGTAAGTTTGTTTTTTTTGTTATCTCCCTGTAACAGTTGTGCCGTTTGTTTATGTTTGTGGTTATACTGCTGCACTTCCTCTTTATGCTTTTCGACTCCTAGCAGCTAATAATACCACCCTTGATTGGCTGTGCTACACTAGAAGTGTGGGTGCTTTGAGCTTTTCACTGGTTTTGGCATGTTAATGCTGTAGGTCATCGTTGTAGTCTAGGGTGTAGCTTTCATAACCGTACACTTTGTGATCTGTCACCACTGTACAGGATGTATCGGAAAGAATACAAGGAAGTTATGAAATGTATGTATGTAAGATTACTCAATATCCACTTCAAAAGAAGACAACAATTTAAAAAACAGAATATCATTATTATTATTATTATTATTATTATTATTATCTTCAATATCGAAAAGCCACCTCAGACCTAACACACACACTGTTTGTTTCAGATTGGAAAAATGACACACCTGACTGTAACGAGGTAAAACATGTAATGAAATGATGCAGCTTAACTGCTTTCACCGCAGTAATGCCTCGTCAGTAAGCCTGTAATCAAAAGCAGACAGTCTGTATCAGTGCCAAGCCTCTTACTGGAGGAGTGAGTCTGTTACAGTCTGTAACTGTTTTTACATTTACTGTGTATTCCCTCTTTACAATACAGCAAAATTAGATTTCTTTTTTGGATCCCCATTAGCTTCCGTTGCAGCAGTTGCTAAACTTCCTGTGGTCCACATACAATTATACAAACACAGTTATGACAGCACACAGACATAATAACATACATACAAACATAGACTCCAGCATTCCAGCCAAAATGACGTATTTAGAAGTTGAAGCAATCAAAATATCAAAGAATTTAAACAATGCATGAGGGTGTTAAGCGAATCGCCTACCTGCGTGCACTCTGCCTGACTCATTGTGCATGAAATGTGTTTTAGGGGAGTGGGTGTCTCTTTAGTTTCTCCAACATCTCCCACCCTAGCTTTAGGAAATGGTGTAAAAAATATATCATACTGTACCTCGTCACATTTTATTTTCTTCATTTATAATAATAAACAGTGCATACGCACTAAAGATGGTGTACGCCACTTTCTAAGCACACTTGAAACAAACTTGACAAATAAACAGACACCCATTTGATTGATATTCCCGGAAGTGGCCAATAAAAAATATAACCTGTGTGATTGATACTTTCTGGAGCGCACAACAAAATAAGCATGATTTAGAATAATAAACACAAATATCTGTTTTTACAAAAGAACACCTCAAATATGTTAAAAGTTTCATCCTTAATTTCATCTGTAATTAATACTTGCATGCAGTGCAATTTATTGTCCTAAATAACTAAATAACAGTAAAATAAATTACGTTTATATTGATGCTGATTTTGATGCCTCAGTTGAGTAAACACAAGTGCGTAGTTTCATACATGCACCAGTGTGGGGAAAAAACACAAAGTATGAAAAAAGACAAGACTATTGAAGATTGTTCTGTCCTAAAGCTGGTAAAACTACTATTTTTTTAACTTAATAAACTGAAGATATTTAAAAGCCTCTCTCTCAGCAGTGGCAGAACATCGGTATTAAGATTTTACAGTAGATCTTAAGTAGATCTTTCAGTGTATAGCTTAGGTATCATAAAAAAGTCATTTTTTTCTTTCTTTATTATCTCCTCTGCAACCTTTTTAATTGAGTAGACTGTTTGTGTAAATAAATGTTTAAACACAGCAGGAATGCATTTCTCAACAGTCACATTATGCCGATTGTTTAATTGTCTGTTTATAGCAGGCATTCATATCACAAGAAAGAAGCAGAACTGCAGAAGAAAGATGAATGTCCAAGAAGGTTTGGTAATGACACAAGTGGAGGGAGAAAAAAGAAAACACTCTGTTTCATTCTCATAGCTTAGGCTAACCAACACAGGAAGTTATTATTACCAAAACTTTGTTTTTTACTTTGTTACAGTTAGGCTAGCAGACCCAAGTGCAAGACTAAGAGAGGGAGTTTGATAAAAGATAAATATTTACTGTAGGGTTGAAGGCATTGGATATTGAGCTGGGGATGAACAAGGCCGACTGAAAGACCAGATGCTGCAGAACCGGGTTGGTGGCTGCTGTGCAGAGCAGGGGGGAACGTAGCTGAGAGTTCAGAGTGTGAGAGGCTGAGCCGAGCAGGTCCAGGGCAGAATCCGGGAATAGTTTAGCTGGGTGGTGGTCCCAGGCGAGCAGACGGGGTGAGCGCTATTTCCGGTATTGGAACAAAAACAATGCATTATTATGCAAAATTTGCTTTGAATTCTTATTATAGCAAACTAAATGTTCTTCTACAATAGGCCTAATATAATTATTTAAATGTGTTCATACTGATTCATTTAAAAATGTAGACTATTAAAACTAATAAACCCATAACTGCCACACTGCAATTATTATCACTCAATTCAACTCCCACACAGCTGAGGGCTTCATTTTGTCTCCCCTTTGATGTGAACTGGAGCAGTATGTTCACCGCTGTGAGCGGAGGTCAGACAAGTATTCGGGTACAGCACTAGCAACAAATATTAATAAAAATAGAAAAATTATGGGCGTTTCACTGACTATTTAAAGGCTACTATGGGTGTGTGAACCTGTGATTTATAAAGACAAATCGGCATAGGATGTGTGTGCACACTGTTTTATAAATCAGAATATGTGTGTGTTTTGTGTTTTGTCCGTACTACTTTTAGTAGTCTTTCTTATGCACGGTTTCATAAATGAGACCCCAGCTCTGTATTTCACTCAGTTTTTCTTGTCACTTAGCTTAGCGGTAAATTACCATCAACTATTAAAACATCAGTCTGCTTAAAGAAATAAAAATACATTTAAATTTAATAATTTTAATATATAAGACCATGGAATAGAAAGTACCGAATGTTGCTTCATGTGCAAAAATGATTTAATGCATTTTCCCCACACATAGTTTGGAGACTGGAAATGCTGAGAGCAGTCCGCCACTACATCTTGTGATAAGTAATAATCTCAAACGACCATAAACGTAATTGATGATAAGTAATGCTCATCTCGTGTCAGCTAACTGTTTATGGTTATAGAGAGGGATACAATCTCAGGCCTCTGAATTAGCCACTGCTGCAAATGGTCTCCAAAAACATTCCAGTGTGTAACTCATTTTAAGCTCCCTCCAGTGTATTCCAGCTGTGGCCTATCATCTTCATTTTAGCCGCTACTTCCACCCTTTATGTATTCTTCAAAAAGACTTCTGTTCCTCTGTTCATTGTGGGATGCATGTGACAGCTTGTCTTGTGATGATATTTAATATTTCCATCACCCGATTTACGCCCTCTTTCTGCATAAAAATTCACCAAATATAATTGAATTAAGGAACCATTATTTCAATGTTGAGAACATACACAAGAAGACACATACTCATCATAGATGAAGATACTATGACTAAGAGACAAAATTTCATCCTTTAATTTAATTATGCAAGGTATAATCACTTTTAAAATGATGAAAAATGTTAAAATGAGTCATTTTACTGTGACTGAGATTAAAATTAGGCATTTTAATCGTATTCTGATTATAAGTGGATAAAAGTAAACGTCGTCATATCAATCTCATATTCAGTGACTTCAGTAACATCCAATAAAGAAAACAATTTAAATTTGCCTTAAAATTTGGTCCAGACATTCATGTCCCCCTTAGGATGAACTGTAATAACTTTGATCCCCCTGACTTTTTATTGGGCAACAATTTTAGTTTCTCCAGTATTTTGGTTTATGACCAAATGACCAAATGACCAATACCCTCTAAACTAATGATATTTTCTCCAGCCTCAGCTGTACTTTGTGTTTAGTGCTAATTAGCAAATGTTAGCTTGCTAACACACTAAACTAGGGTGTTGAACATGGTAAACAACTAATTGCCTAAACATCAGCATGGTAGCTGTGTCGTTGTGAGCATGTTAGCAAGTTGATGATAGCGTTTAGCTCAAAGCATCGCTGTACAGCTTCACAGAGCGGCTTGCGTAATGATTGTGACTTTCAGTCTGGTTAACGTGTAAACACATTTAAATCTCAGGGACTCATTTGTCAGGTCAGAAAGCTGTACATGCTGTAAAACACTGCTAGCTCAGAGAGTCCTTCCTCTTATGAAATTATGTACCTGAACTAAAGTATATTCTGAACTTTTTACTTGCGCTCATTCTTTCCTGCCATTCTTACCTACAGGTGGATGTTTGTTTTAAGCAGCACATGGCCTGTATTCTGCTGACAGACATGGACCCACCTACCTCCAGTCCTACAGCACATTACAATGGCCTTCCCTCTGACCTTGACCCAGTCACTAGACCTGACCCCAAGCAGGATATGGAGGCCACCTGCCTGACCGTCCGCCTTTACTACCTCGGGAAGGATGGAGGAGGGGGCGGGCCCAACTGTTCAGAAAGTGTGCTTACGTTTCCACCTGGGGAGTACATAGCAGAGGATCTGTGCATCAGTGCAGCGAAAGCATGTGGTAAGTCACAAGAGGATTACAGTGCTCATGTCTACACACTCACACAAAATATAGCTCAGTTTATTCATAAAGTTTATTTGTTGACCAATTTTCAAACATTCGTTTAATATGGCTAATATGCTAATAAATAAAACATGCATCAAATATATATTAGGACTTGAGTGATATTGTGTGTGGGTGGTTAGGATGGATAAAAAGATATAGTATTTATTTGTGTTTTGTATTGTATTTATTTGAATTTGTTGAGAAACCACTCTAAATGGGTCAGGCTAAATAAACATGGTTTTATTGTATTTATATATTTATATATGTATTTATTTATTTTATGTATGAACAGAAAGGCATTTAAGGAGACATTATGCTAATTTCCTGCTCTGTATTTTTATTCTGGGACTCCGCTAGAGTAGCTTTGCATGATTCACAGCTTTAAAAAATCCTTATTTATCTTATACTGGCCCTTTATGCAGCCTCTCAGATCATTCTGTCTTTAGGACCTCTCTCCCTAAAAAGCCCACTTTCTTCTGATTAGCCAACCACAGGAAGCCTACAGAGAGGCAGCACCCAGTTCTTGTGAGCTACACTGCCTCATCCTCTTGCCGTTGGGCTCCAATGCAGGTGACAGCTTGTAGTGACTTCTTTCTGAGGGTCAGTGTAGGTACCAGATACGCTTGGCCTGGTAGTTCTGCTCGGGGCCTCACTGATTCACTGATTACTGTACAAAACGCACAACTTTTATAACTTAATTCAAGATGGACAGATAGCTTTAAAGTATATGCTAACTTCTGTTAACTGAGCTAATTAGCTAATGGCAGCTACAGTTAGCAGCAACAAGCAAAGCCATCTGTCCATCAAGAAACTAACTTGCCTTCACTACTGAAAATACAGAATAGTCGTGAGTAAAAGAGTTTTCCATAGCCAGACCTATTCCACACTTTGTTTTAGTGCTGTGCCAGTGCTGGAGAAAGCGCTATGAGCAGAACGGTCAAATTACTTTGACAGACTGAATGGGTGGCCTGGAAACCTAGTATTCAGAGTGTAACCAGCCCCGGTTGTACTGCACAGTCCAGACTCGAACTCGTGGCCCCGGGTACCGGAGGTGGACGCACTAACAAGGAGGCTAAAACCATCTCTTAAGGCGTTGTGGAGTGTGGTAGCTGGCTAACGTAAGAGCAGTCTGAAGCCTGAGCTTTTTGCTCAAAGGGATTACTTTTACATGCATTTACTTCATTATTTTAAACATTGGCCATGTTTAGTATGAATAGCTGGCATTGTAACATTATACATGACAGACAAGGATTATATGTGCAGAAATATTGCTACTTGCATCAATGCATTTTTCTCTGTGGATCATAGACTGGACTGAAGGTTGATACATTACCTTTCCATTAAACAAAAGTTACCTACACTCAGCCCTGAAAAAGTGCATGACGTCACATTTCTGATGCGGATGATAAATAAATACTGATGAGAGCAATCACAAACTATAAATAGTGCGATGGAGCGACGCTACAGTTTGTAGTCTAGTCTGAAAATGGTTAAGGACCACGCTAATAGTTGAAATTCCTCCCTAGTTGACCTCTTCAGCAAGTTTAGCTTTTTGGGTATTGTTTATTTGTAATCTGCTCTAGCTCCTCTAAATTTTTGTACACACATGGAAATAATAATGGTCCAAAATGATGTGAAATTGCACACACACGGGAAAAACTTTAATTACTTACATCCTTTTACACCAAATGAGGCAATATATTTTGGAAGAATGTTGTTCATGCCATCCAGCAGAGCTCAAAGACTCTGAGAAGCATTGCAGCTGTTGGGCCAACTCCTTAATACGCTGTTCTGTTGGGGGGGTTTTTGTCTCCCATCTGAATATCCAGAGAAATGTTGGGTCTTTTTTTAGTTCACTTCAGTAGCTAAAAATTCTTGGCACTAACTTTAAATTGCCATGTACTGGCAGCGCAGTTTAAGTCTCTGAGCCATGATCCCCTTGGTTTACATTAATTTTAGTCATCCAGGTAAAGTAAATAATTGGATTGGAAACAGATTTGTTTAGAAGCGTTGAACGTTTATTTTCATGTCAGATGTGGGGTGTTAAGCGTTAACAATGTGAAGATGCAAATCCTCCTAATGAATTAGTGTCATCAGCCAAGAAGTCACCTTTCCCTGGTGCCCTCTGAAGATGATGTCATTCCTTATATACTGTAAATATGTTTGAAGTAAATGATTATGGACCTTTTAACCCATTCCATCACGTGTCATGCAGGAAAATCCTGTTTGGTTTTTAGTGCTGTGCCAGCGCTGGAGAAAGCACTTTGAGCAGTATGGTCGAATAATTTTTGACAGACAGAGCTGGTGGTTGGACCCATCGTTGGCGTGCTGTGCCTGGAGCAAATCATGATCAGATGACCGTATAAGGACATCCATGCCGACATCAGTTAGGCAGGGTAGTAGAAAAAACTTTGGAACCCTAGTATTCAGGGCATTTACCTCATTATTTTAAACTTTGGCCATGTTTAGTATGAACAGTCGACATTGTAACATACAACAGTCTGTGTGCAACTGCTTCTAAAATAAATGTTGCTATTTGCATCAATGCATTTGTCTGTGTGGCTCATAGACTGGACCGAAGTTATGGACACAGTACGTTTCCGTTCAACAAAATTTCCCTGCGCTCGGCCACATAAAAAGGACATGATGTCTCATTTCTGATGTGGCTAATAAATAAATATTGAGTAATCACAAACTATAAATGGTTTGAGATCAATGCTACAGTTTTTAATCTAGTTGTGTGATAATGCACTAAAAATGGTGAAGAAAAAAGCTAGAATAATAAGTCATCCGCGCATCTACTCGGTCAAAGTTGAACAAAGGTGAGCTTGGACTTGTGAAGCCGCCGGAGTCGTCCGGAGATTGCGCCAAAACAGGAAACGCATGCTTGAATTTGTCCAGCAAGTGAGTATTCGTTGGACAGAAGTTTAATGTGACCACACTGTGTTAGGACGAGCAGTTGGCCTACCACCAACTGTGAAAGGCAGAAATATCAGTCAAGTAAACACATGCCCAAAGCATACTTCCCACGACCAAGACACACGAGAAACATTTTAATTAGTACATCCCTTTACACCAAATGAGGGAATATCTTTTGGAAGAATGCTGCCCATGCCTCTAGTAGAGACTCTGAGAAGCATTGTAGCTGTTGGCAGCTTGTTGTGGCTCAACTCCTTATCAGGACATGTTTTTTCTTTTTTCTTTAATTTGTCTCCAGTTTGTAATCCAGAGAAAAGCTGGGTATTTTTTATTCACTTCAATATAGTATATACAGTGCCTTGCGAAAGTATTCGGCCCCCTTGAACTTTTCGACCTTTTCCCACATTTCAGGCTTCAAACATAAAGATATAAAACTGTAATTTTTTGTGAAGAATCAACAACAAGTGGGACACAATTATGAAGTGGAACGAAATTTATTGGATATTTCAAACCTTTTTAACAAATAAAAAACTGAAAAATTGGGCGTGCAAAATTATTCAGCCCCTTTAATTTCAGTGCAGCAAACTCTCTCCAGAAGTTCAGTGAGGATCTCTGAATGATCCAATGTTGACCTAAATGACTAATGATGATAAATAGAATCCACCTGTATGAAATCAAGTCTCCGTATAAATGCAGACTCTGTGATAGTCTCAGAGGTCCGTTTAAAGCGCAGAGAGCATCATGAAGAACAAGGAACACACCAGGCAGGTCCGAGATACTGTTGTGGAGAAGTTTAAAGCCGGATTTGGATACAAAAAGATTTCCCAAGCTTTAAACATCCCAAGGAGCACTGTGCAAGCGATAATATTGAAATGGAAGGAGTATCAGACCACTGCAAATCTACGAAGACCCGGCCGTCCCTCTAAACTTTCAGCTCTTACAAGGAGAAGACTGATCAGAGATGCAGCCAAGCCACCTGGGAGACACACCAAACATGTGGAAGAAGGTGCTCTGGTCAGATGAAACCAAAATTGAACTTTTTGGCAACAATGCAAAACCTTATGTTTGGCGTAAAAGCAACACAGCTCATCACCCTGAACACACCATCCCCACTGTCAAACATGGTGGTGGCAGCATCATGGTTTGGGCCTGCTTTTCTTCAGCAGGGACAGGGAAGATGGTTAAAATTGATGGGAAGATGGATGGAGCCAAATACAGGATCATTCTGGAAGAAAACCTGATGGAGTCTGCAAAAGACCTGAGACTGGGACGGAGATTTGTCAACAAGACAATGATCCAAAACATAAAGCAAAATCTACACTGGAATGGTTCACAAATAAACATATCCAGGTGTTAGAATGGCCAAGTCAAAGTCCAGACCTGAATCCAATCGAGAATCTGTGGAAAGAACTGAAAACTGCTGTTCACAAACGCTCTCCATCCAACCTCACTGAGCTCGAGCTGTTTTGCGAGGAGGATTGGGCAAAAATTTCAGTCTCTCGATGTGCAAAACTGATAGAGACGTACCCCAAGCGACTTACAGCTATAATCGCAGCAAAAGGTGGCGCTACAAAGTATTAACTTAAAGGGGCTGAATAATTTTGCACGCCCAATTTTTCAGTTTTTTATTTGTTAAACAAGTTTGAAATATCCAATAAATTTCATTCCACTTCATGATTGTGTCCCACTTGTTGTTGGTTCTTCACAAAAAATTACAGTTTTATATCTTTATGTTTGAAGCCTGCAATGTGGCAAAAGGTCAAAGTTCAAGGGGGCCAAATACTTTCACAAGGCACTGTATAGTTTAAGGCTCTGAGCCACGACCCCAGTGGTTTATATTAATCTTAGTTATCCAGGTAATAAGAGAGTAAATAACCAAACGGACTGGTTAAGAAGCATTTAATGTGTATTTTCATGTCAGATGTGGGGTGTTAGGCATTCTCTTTAACCCATTCCATCATGTGTGATGCAGGAAAATCCTGTTTGTGTATTCAGCATTTACACACAATTGTATGTGCACTAAGATCAAATTCCTCCAACTATATTTTTTACAAGAATTTCCTGGCAAAGAAATTGACATAGGCTTGTAAGCTGTCAGAGCCGATCCAGTGTTTATATTGCAAAACAGAACTACAGCGTTCAGCCTGGCTTTTCGTTTTCTCTTTCTAGCAAATTCAGATCAGGAAGTTGTTGACTTTTGTGTCTGTTTTCTTCTCTGCCTTCGCTCTATCTCTCTTGGCCACACACTCTTGCTCCATTCCCTTTTGAGACGATAAGAAACAACCTCAGTTTTCTTTTTATCTTCCTCTTTTTTTGTATCTCCTTGCTTTTCTTTTTTTCATTTTAAACATCCTTTGTTCTCTTGTTTGTCTGTTTTGCAGACTGTATTTCTATCTCCTCTCCATATGTCACCCATTCGCCTTTCATGGTTTACCAACACTAAATCACCAATCGTGATGCATTTCTATGCGCATTGTCTATCTGGTTAACTTTTACACTTAACTTTTTACGTAGCTTCATTTTAGGATATTGTAAAAGTTAGCAGAGAAGAACCATAAATGTCAGATTTGCTAAGGCAAGGGGATGTCACATCAGGATGAAGTCAGACATATATAACCTCCCCAGCAGTCGGACCTAATATGATTGGACTTTTCTACAATAACTTTCTACCTTTTTTGTCCTCACACAGCATGTTTTCAGCACAGTAAGAACAAATACGCTCATTAGAAGGTGAATGTAGCCAAACTGTTAAATAGGTAATTGATAATAACATATTGTTAGGTGTTCTGTTATTTTGTCCAATCTCTGAATAAAGTGGTATGGTGAGCATATTGTTAAGCTGTACAACATATACCAGGTAAAATCTCAGCCTCTAAGGTGTGAAAACACTAAATTAGTCTGCAGTGCATTGCTTACTTGATTATTTGATATATGATAAAATACAAGGTAGGACTTAAATGCTTACTACTTTGGCTTTACTTCTTCTTTTTGTGGTTCAGCATACTTCCTCTTAAACATCTTCACACTTATTGCTTCACTCTTGTGAGTGCTTCCTGCTGATGACATTTTCTGTCTGCTAATGCCCCACTTGGCCCGACTGATAAAACCTTTCTACTGTTGGTGCTGGTGTTTTGTAGATGTAACGACAACGGCCAGGAATAAAAACACAGACATGTGGAACTGATACTGAGCAGGGAAGCTAATTGTTATTTTCATTGTGTTAACACAACTTGACAGTTGTTGTCATGTGTCATCAAAGCACAGTTTCCTGCAGTCTGCAGTGCTACCACCACGTGTGTGTTTGTGTGTGTAAACATGCAGTAGACGCATGACGTGTCTAAATATTGGCCAGTTGTTGTTGTTTAGTGGCAGCTATTCTATTTTTCTACTTTTTTTATGTGTCCTTAAGAGATTAAATGGAAAACATGTGTTGCTCCCTGATCTCTGAGAGTTATTGTAGAAGCAAAAGCAGTTCAGTTAGTTGTAGTGACTTTTAGTGGATCTGACATATTTTCATTCTCTTTCCAGGGATTGCGCCAGTGTACTGCAACTTGTTTGGCCTGATGAGGGAGAGTGACCGAATATGGTTCCCTCCGAATCACATCTTTAAACTGCACCAGCCAGCCACTGAGAGCCTGCACTTCAGAATCAGGTACATATGTTTAGTATGCCTTTTTTCCTGTCTTTTTAATCTCACTGTGTGTTGTTTTTGTGCTTTTGATTCATTTTCTTACTGGATCTTCTCTGGTCATCTTTTCTGTCCAGATACTATTTTCCTGGCTGGTATAACAGCGGTAGTTCAATGTACGCCCATCGCTATGGCATGTCCAAGGGGATGGAGAGCCCTGTGATGGATGATTGTGTCATGGCATACCATTTTTTCCAGGTTAGTCTTTATGACTTAACACCCCATATCAACATTAAGTCAGTTATTTTCTTGTATGTGGTCATTTTAAATTTGTTCTACATAATTCTTTGTACGTGTGTGTGTAAAAAGTAGGGTGCAGTCTTTGTCTGGATCATTTTCTTTCCCTAAACCGGATGCATTACCAGAGGACAGCGTCTTCAAGACTAATGCCCCCTCTTTCACCTCCATCACAATCTTTCTGTTTTCCTGTTTTGCTCTTTTAATGACGAGCTGAAATGTTGGTTGGAGGGAGATAAAATATGCCTATAAAATATTTCCCTTTTTCAGGGACTGACTGCCTCTGTCATGTCAGCCGCTCTTGGGTGTAAGTTAAGAAACCAGGATGTGGGGTAGTAAGAGTGTTTCAGAAGTACAAATGGGTAACAAGCGTATGTCAGGGTTCTTTTCACTCGTGTCTGCGTACTCATGTATATGTGTGTGTGCGTTTTAAATACTTTTCTTTTCTTTTCTTTTTTCCTTTCCCACATGCTTGTGTGAACTTGACACACACAGCTCTGTTCAGCTTTGTTTTTATCTTCACTTGTCACATTGACACCATGACATGTGTGCTAACAGATTGGCCTACTGAATGTTTACCACATGCAGATCGAGCTTGACACTCACAACAACTTCCCCCATTTAAAATATAAATTTTTATTGGAACACACAAACAATTTACAGTCTGTCTGATTAATGTTCATTTTCTCAACAGAGCTATAGATGAAAGATTTACCAAAAATGGTTGAAACCTAATCTAATCTCACATTTTAACTAATTATAATTCTGTATTAAGAACCAAGTTCAGAATTTAGCCAGTTGCGCCCTTTATCTCTATTTGTACTTCTCGTGTGGGTAACCCCGCCCCTCTCCCCCCTCCAGTGGCGCAGCGACTTTCTGAACGGCTTGGTTACTATTCCAGTGAGCCATGAAGCCCAGGAGGAGTGTCTGGGCATGGCGGTGCTGGACATGATGAGGCTCGCCAAAGATAGTGGTCAGTCACCTGTAGAGATCTGCAATGATACCAGGTAGGATGCACACACTGACTGACATGAAATGCTTGCTGTTTTGCTGGTGTGCATGTGGCACAGCTTATGAATAACGATTTCAGAGCAGGTTGACGGGCTCCTCAGCACACAGCAAGCATAAAGATAGTTTCATTATGTGTATTCATGCAGCTGAATGAATTATCTCAGTGTGTGAGATAGTGTAGTAGTTTCAGTTGAAAAAGTGTCTACAAGATCTGATCTTTACAACACATCTGCACTGTGTCCACACAGGAAATGTTAATTTTCCCAAAATGTCTCTTCATAACTAATTCATCATTAATATTACTTGTTTTGGTTTTACATCACCTTTACCTTTACGGTATCTTTTGTGATGATTATTCTCATGAGGTGGACACAGCATGGACACCAACTGAACTGGCTCAAAGCCTACATAGCGTTTGCCGTTTTAACCTTGTTTCCTTTTTCACTTGGCCCCCTTTTCTCTTTGTCCTTCTTGTTATTCATTTGTCATTCCCTCCTCTTCTCGTTATTCTCAACTTTTATCTTCACCCAACCACCCTGACCGATCGCCTCCCCGTTTTCAGCTACAAGTCCTTATTACCTAAATGCATGCGAAGCCGCATCCAAGAATATAACATCTTGACTCGGAAGAGGATCCGCTATCGCTTCAAGAGATTCATCCAGCAGTTCAGTGAATGCAAGGCCACGGTGTGTAACCTCAAGCTCAAGTACCTGATGAGCCTGGAGATGCTGCTGCCCTCCCTCTACTCTGAGCGCTTCCAAGTCACAGACCTCTCTGCACGCGAGGTTACTATTGTCGTCATGGGCAACAAGGGCATCCTGTGGTCAAAAGGGAAAGAGGAGGAGGGAGCAGAGGAGGTGAGGACCAGGAGATGGGTTCATGTTGCCATGGTAATGCAGTTGTACTGTGTAGTCTGCCACAGTGGGAGTTTTTTTACCAATAGATGGAGCTCTAGGAGTTGGTTAAAATTGCCAATAACAACAAGAGTGCATGTGTGTGCATGCTTCGTCATTGAACACAAATGCCAACCACTGTTTTCTACTCTTTTTGTGTCTCCAGGAGCTACAGACATACTGTGACTTCCCAGAGGTGATTGACATCAGCATCAAACAAGCTAATAAGGAAGGCTCTGTGGAGAGTCGCATAGTGACCCTCACCAGACAGGACAACCAGATCCTGGTACAGTACACACTACTCTCATTTTCAGGCTCTGCTCCACTAAAATTAATCATTTGTTTACTTTATTCCAATCTTATCTAAATTTCACTACTGCCCATAGACCAAAGTGCCCATTGGGGACATTAAATCACGAATCTGCTTCACTGCTATCAGGAATGTGTTTAAACGACACATAGGTGTTGTCAGAGCCAAGTGCTCTAGTGGCTTGTTACAGCAGTCGGACTTATGACAACAGCAACATCTTGTTTTTTACCTGTTTTGAAAGACAATAATGACCAACAAATTAATTACAGGACATAAACTGATGAAAAATTCAACTATTTTCTTAAGAGCAATTTCTTAATTTGTTTCACTGAAATTCATAAATATATAGATTGAAGGCTCATTGTCATTAAAGTTAGAAATAGGTACTGAAGGCTTTTTATTCTGCATCCCATCCCTATGCTGTGTGTCTCTGTCTGACCACAAAGGAACTGGAGTTTAATTCACTCTCAGAGGCTCTGTCATTCGTGTCGTTAGTCGATGGGTACTATAGACTCGTTGCAGATGCCCATCATTACCTGTGTAAAGAGGTGGCTCCGCCAAGACTTCTGGAGTGCATTCAGAGCTACTGCCATGGCCCCGTGTCGTGAGTATCACACATATGCACAGATATAGCACGTCAGACTTGAACACATGCACCCAAAACCACAGAACCATTCTCCCACGCACAAAGACACATTCTGTCTTTTTGATCACAGGATGGAGTTTATGATTGATAAACTGCGTCGCTCTGGTAACCACCAAGGCCTGTACATCCTCCGCTGCAGCCCCAGGGACTACGACAAATACTTCATGTCCTTTGTGGTGGGGGTAAGCTATTAATGTTGGGTTATCTGTAATGTGAAGTACTATTGATATAACATCTCACAACAACCAGGGCCTTTAGACTATAATGTAATACAATATAGTCCTTTGGTAGAACACTTTAGTTCAAGTAAGTAGGAAGATGAAGTAATCGCAACTGCATAACTACATTTAACTGAGTGTCTGTTTCTGGAAGTAAACTGTGTTCATTCATTGGTTTGCTAAAACTCATAATAGTAATAAATGTGTGCAAACCAGAACCTCTTAAATAATACCCATATTTTCAACCACTTGAGGGGGCCCTTATGTATTCTGACTGACACTTAATCACTCTCTTCAAATTCAGCACAACTAAACCGTAAAATGTTTTCTTTTGGTTTTCAGTATGAAAGTATGGTGGACTATAAGCACTGCCAGATCGTGAAGACTGAGGCAGGAGAGTACATTCTGAGTGGTGCTAAGAGGAGCTTTGGCTCACTCAGGGAACTTCTGCACTGCTACCAAAAGGAGGCGCTCCGCACTGATGGATACACATTCCAGCTGACCAGGTGCTGCCCACCCACCCTCAAAGGTCAGTGTTCGCATACACACATACACTGATAAGAACATTGTGTACCCACATACATTTTAACACAGGTAGGAGAACACATACAGAAAAATATTCTCCAGTTAAAATCTCTCCCCTATGTTGGAACTATTACTCAACTTTTTGTTCCTCCTTTTGAAAATAAAATGGTAAGAACAGTTTTCCATAAAGCTGCAAAAGTAGGCAACAGCATATTTCTGTGATATATGAATGAAATATTTTATGCTGGATCAATTGTAAAACATTATGAGTTTTGTTAAAACCATCAAGTCAGCGAATTACAAAAATTATCATCAGTCATTGTAAAAAATGCAGAGGTTATGCGATCTGCAGACCCAAAAATATGCCTTCATTTTTAATTTTTTTTTTAGGGTACAAAACATGAATGACGCAAGTAGTTAAAGTTTAATCTTTAGCAGTTTGAAGGCAATGAGTAAACACTATAAATTAGTGATTAAAGGCGCAAGAATGCTCCCAGTTCAATGCCCTGTGCCCCAGGGCAAACAGTTACCACAGAAAATTCCTAACAGGGCTCTTCGACACTGTTCAGTTTCAAAATCTTTCTAGCTCTGTGCTGCGGGTCTTTAACCATTTTAAAGCTGCTGGTTTACATCAGATGCCTCGTTTTCTGAGTTAGTAACATTTTTTAATTGCTGTTGGATTTAAAGTAACCACTGACCTTCAGCTCATTTATTGACACGCTGGATATACTTACATGATGCGTGGAACTTCTGACAGCCTAGAGCATTCAGTTATAATTGGTAGCTTCAAACTCTAGGACAGAGTAACACCCATAAAAAGAAACAGCTACAGGCACAATGTCAACTGAGATGAAGCCAACTCTTGTTTCTGAGAAAAGTCTTTCATAGCCCCACAAAAACGTGAGTTTTTAAGCTCCCCTAATTCCTGCCCACCTTTTACTTTTCTTCAGATAAATCCAACCTGCTGGTGTGTAGAAACAATCAAGGTGCAGAGCTTCCACTGTCTCCCTCGCTCCACAAGCACAACATCAGCCAGATGGTCTTCCACAAGATCCGAAAAGAGGACCTCGTCATTGTAAGACCACCCTGACTTTGCGCTTTAGGTTTCCCTCTCATCTGAAAAAGACATGCAAACATTCATAAATATGCCTTTTCTTTCATCGTAGTAGTTTGTGTTAGTTGCTTCTTGTACAGATATTTATTTGTAGAAGATTACAACAGTATTGAACAAACTTTGGTATGTTTTTTGTTTTTGTTGCTCTGAGCAATTATTGATTTATAAGTGAACAACTGTACCCGAGTGGGTGTGAGATAACACTAAACGTTGAGCCAAAACTGAATAGAAAAGGTAATATGTCAACATAAGTGAGCGTACCAGAGTCTTCGATCAGGAGGGACAAGATGGACTCATGTGGGGTCAATGAGGTTAATAAAAAGACTTCTTCAATTGATCCACCTACTGTAGCTCAGCGTCAATAGCAGTCCCTATGGACGTGTGTGAGTGCACTTTTTTGTGTCCTAGCCACGCTGTCACTCTGTTATTTGAGCACTGGAAGTCTAGTATAATAGGTCTTTCACAAGAAAACCACAGAAGAAGTCAGGGGAGGTTTCTGCATCGCAGTATTGTCTTCTCACTCGTCCCTCAGCAGATTCAACAAGTGTTTCTTTTATATCTACCTGTTCAGCTTCACTGTACATTTATTTAATCAGGACCTTTTAATCTTTTTTGTTGAATGTTAAGTAGCGGAAGCCATTCTCATCTTTTTTTTTTTTTTTTTTTTTTTAGCATTGAGTGGATGTACTGAACCAAAGAAAAAAGAAAAAGATGCATTCTTTGCCAAAAGATTATTTCTAACAATATGCTCTTTGTAATACAACTTACAGGGTTACAGTAACTTTATGGTTTAAGAGTCACATCAGGGAAAATGCATACCTCTTTTCCAAGGAGGTTTTCAACATAATAAAACATCAGTTTTTGTTTTGTTTGTTTTTTTAGAATGAGAGTCTGGGCCAAGGAACTTTCACCAAGATCTTTTGCGGTGTGAGAAAGGAGCTGGGTGACTACGGAGAGATGCACCAGATAGACGTTGTCATCAAGATCCTGGATAAGGCTCACCGCAACTATTCAGAGGTTGGCTTGTTGATTAAAATAACTATGACAACTTGGAGTTGAGAGGATCAGAAGTTGATTGGATCCAATTCAGATTCTCTAATCTTCTTCTCTCCTTTTCTCCCTCCATAGTCTTTCTTTGAAGCAGCCAGTATGATGAGCCAGCTCTCCCATAAGCACTTACTCCTCAACTATGGCGTGTGTGTTTGTGGAGATGAGAGTAAGTATACGCACACGCACATGGACACACTGCTGGCACAGAGATGGTCACTGTGGAAGGAATTGTTGTGGTTATTCTCACTTGTTTATGATCTCTGTGTGGGCTATTGAGACCAAGACAAAAGTTGTTAGAATTGCAATTGCATTAGGTTGCATAGAATACAGACAAAAGCAAGAAGTCCTCTTGAATGAGAAAGAGAAAGCTTCACAATAAAAACTGACATCAGTTGCCTACAGGGACAAACTTAGCCCCTGCAGGCAATTGAGATAATCAAACAGAGAGGAAATAAGGTTTGGGACCTGCTGACCTGCTGTGTCCTGTGCCCTGACCCTTTACACTCTGACTGGATGAAGCCCTCGGGATAAACAAGTCACTAATGGGTTACCGTAGTCTTGATCTTTACTCTACGTGAAACTCCCGACACATATCAGAACAGTGGGTCTGGAAACCTGTACTATTCACATTTCTGATTGTGGAAGAGTATAATTAAAAAAAAGATAAGTTCTGACCCAAAGCAATGTGTTTTCATCATGTGCCAGGGTGTTCCAGTCTTAATATAAATCAGACATTTGAAGAATGTAGTAATTGTTCAGAAGAAATTCAACTTTGACCAAAGCTAGATTTCTCATGAAGGACAAGACAAAATGAACTGTACCAGATGGCAGAATAAAAAAAGAATGCAAGACATTCATGAGTAGGGAAGGTTTTTCTAACTAATAAAATGATAAATAATAAAATGATCTCCCTCTCTGTCAGACATGATGGTGCAGGAGTATGGTAAATTTGGTTCATTGGACACCTACCTGAAAAAGAATAAGAGCTGTGTTAACATCACCTGGAAACTAGAAGTAGCCAAGCAGCTATCCTGGGCTATGCACTACCTGGTAAGACTACTGACATAATGCAGTCTCGCCCATGCAGAATGTTTAGCTTGTGACACATACTGAAATTTAAGGTAAAGAGAAACAAAAATGTAAAATAAAACTAGTTCAGCCTTTCAGCTTTTATCCTGGAACACATTTTCGTGATTTGCTCACACCATGGTGTTTTATTTGGTCATATCTGCACACAGGAGGATAAGAACCTCATCCATGGAAATGTTTGTGCCAAGAATGTTCTTTTGATCAGAGAGGAGGATCGGATGACAGGCAGCCTGCCCTTTATCAAACTCAGTGACCCGGGTATCGGCATCACCGTGCTGCCCAAAGAAGGTGAGAAGTATGGCTGCATGCACCTGATGTGAGAACACTTAAAGGTTAACTTCTGTATTTTTCAACATGTTTGTCTATGTCAGTAAGTGGGACCAAATATTTTGAAACTGGTCCAGTATTTAGTGAACGCACTGCAGTCAGCAGCAGTGAAACAGGGCTGCAACATAATTCTTGCAGGCAATTGCGTCAACAACATTGTGGAAAGGATCCATACAGGGGTGGATCTTTTTTTTTTTTAAAGTCAGATCCTTTTTGTTTAATAAGAAACAGTTGCTATGTTGGTCTCCAGAGCCACCAGACTCCCTCCCCAAAAATAAAATAATAACCGTGAACTACTAAAAAAAAGTTTGTGTTGTTCTGTGACACCAAAGTCACTTAATAACACAAACAAACAAAAACATAAAAGATACACAATAACACAAAATAACTAACCGACTGAGGCAGCAGTAGACCAGCAACTGCCATGTTCTGCGAGGTAAAATGATCAATGGAGTCTGGTGGCTTTGATGAGAGCAATATAGCAAGTTGTTACAGAAAAAGGATTGTTCTTTTTTTTTTTTTCTTTCTTTAGAGATCCCTTCCAAAAGGTTGTCACTCACTTGTTAAAAACAATCTGAGCCTTTCATTGGCAAAACAAGCACTTTAGTGGACGTACTTTGACGATGTGCAATCGCCTGCAAGGATTACATAGCAGCCCTGTCTAATTACTGGACCAATTTCAAAAAACATTTGTCCAAGTAGTCACATAGACAGAAACATGGGAAAATAAGGTCCAAGTTGAAAAACACTGAAATTACCCTACTGTCTCAATTTGCCTTCTATTTCTTTGTCCTTGCTGTCCGTCTCTACCGTCTATCCCATTCACGTACATCCATCTCTCTGTGTTTCTATGTCTCCTCATGTCCTTCCATCAGTTCTGGTGGAGCGTATCCCATGGGTGCCGCCCGAGTGCATTGAAAACCCCCAAAACCTGAGTTTAGCCACAGACAAGTGGGGTTTTGGGACCACCCTATGGGAGATCTGCAGTGGGGGAGACAAACCACTCAGCACCCTGGACTGCTCCAAGGTCACAAACAACAAAGGATGCATTAAGAATTCTGTCTTGCTGAGAATGACCCGTGTTAAAGGAATAGTTTGACATTTTGGGACATATTGAAATAAGTGTAAAAACGGAGCTACCACTGGGTTGCCAGGCCTCGCTGACTCCAGGAAGTCACAGCTGTCTGCAAGAAATAGCTCCAGTAGTTGTGTCCTTTTCATACATTAGCACAAATTAAACAAACGAGATATCACATATGCATTAATGAGTGTTAGAGGTGCTGGCAGGCCGATTTTTTAAAAGATTTTAAAGCTGTTTTCCCTTGTTTCTAGTTATTATGCTAAACTAGGCTAACTGGCTGCTGACTGTTGCTTCATATTTACTAAACCGCCATGAGTGGTATCGATCTTATCGTGTAACGCTTAGAAAGAAAGCAAAAACTGTATTTCCTAAAATGTTGAATTGTTCCTTTAATTCATTCTTTTGTTTGTTTTTTTACGTGAGGACAGGATGTTATTGAAAATGTGTTCTATTGATTATGTCTGCCAACGACGTATCTTCAACTCAGTTTGAAAACATGCAGATTCTAAATTTTGCTCTTTTCCTCTACAGAAGAACTTGTTCTATGAGGACAGGCACCAGCTGCCGGCTCCTAAATGGACAGAGCTGGCCAATCTGATCAACAGCTGTATGGACTACGAGCCCTCACACCGACCCTCCTTCAGAGCAATTATCAGAGATCTCAACAGTCTGTTCACACCAGGTAGGAAGGATAAATTAATACAAAGTGCAACCTTCCTTCAGAGCCATCCATCACAAGTGGAGACAGCTTCTTCACATGTGGCGCACAGATCCGTTGATCATGTGGGAATACCACCCTCATGCATTCATCTGGAGTTTTGTCAGGATTTGGTTTGAAATGACTTTGCAACTTGTTGTGTTGCAGACTATGAGCTGCTGGTGGAGAGCGATATGGTGCCCAACAGGACAAGAGGCTTCGGCTTCCCGTGGGCCTCTGAAAGCCAGGAGACTGCCCAGTTTGAGGAGAGGCACCTCATCTTTCTCAAGCTGCTGGGCAAAGTGAGAAATGCACAGTGTTTTTGTGAAAGATTTTTCTTTTTGTTTGACTCTTTTATCAATTTTAAATTAAATTTAGCTTTATTGGCATGAAGGACAAAGAACAATAATGACAAAGCTTAAAAGATAATACAAAAGAATTAATTTGATCTCCCTTCAAGTATTTACATAATCTTGAAGTGTCCATGTTCTTTTAATACAAATAGTTGTTAAAGCATTCTGAACAATTTCACTGGAAAAGCATGGAACATGAAGCATGGCCAGCACTGTTTGATAAGAAAGAAAACAATTTCTTAAGTTATCTTATTTGCCATTTTTCTCTGTGGATGACATATATTGTTTCCTGTCATTACTAAATCTTCTTCCTGGGCATCTCACTGACTCCACGCTACTTAATGCACCAAGGACATTTTGTGACATCAACAATCAAGGCTTTCATTTACATATCTCTTAAACCTGTTCTGCCTCTGAACCCCACGCTGCAGGGAAACTTTGGGAGCGTGGAGATGTGCAGGTACGACCCCCTGCAGGACAGCACAGGAGAGGTGGTGGCCGTGAAGAAACTACAGCACAGCACAGCCGAGCATGTCAGGGACTTTGAGCGGGAAATCGAGATCCTCAAATCCCTTCAGCATGAAAACATTGTCAAATACAAAGGAGTCTGCTATAGTGCAGGTATGAGCACGGTGTGTGATATCTATATGTGCATTATGATCTGGTCAGGAAATCTTTTTGGCATATTTTAGATAAAGCAAATTATTCGTCTGATTAATCTCGATTATAAAGTGAGATCTAGGATGGGTTCAGTGACAAAGCAAACTTTCCTAACCAGCTTGTTCAGCCCTGTTCCTTGATTTGACATTACGGCAACACGGCAGATCTTGTTATACATAATAATGTCTTTACAGTTCCCACATTGGTTGCCTAGGGCGTCAGTGACCATGCCCATGAAACAAATGAATTTAGATTTTCTCAGAGGCCTCCACTTCTCTGCGTGCACGTTGCATCATCTCTCTTAAGCATCGCACTTAATGTCTTTATTTCTGCAGGACGAAGGAACCTGCGGCTGATCATGGAATATCTCCCCTATGGCAGCTTGAGAGATTATCTCATCAAACACAAGGACCACTTTGACTCCAAGAAACTGCTGCACTATGCATCACAGATTTGTAAGGTAATGTAGCGCAGTAGATTGTGCATAAAAGACTTTACGTGACCCCGCCTTGTCATCTTCCTGGAGCTTCAGGTCAATCTAGTGAGCTTGTAAAAAATAAGGAGTTCAAGATTCATAGCCTGGGAACCTTTCTTTTTTCAAGTGAACACCTGGATCAGATTGGATTCAGACAGATGGTTGGGAGATGTAGGAAATCACAATTTCAGGACTGGTTTACAGAAAACGGCAGGGTGGCTGCATATAGAAAGAAGTCTTACTGAGTGAGTGAGAGATAGAGTAGACTTCTACTTGAGGGGAAAATGTGGGAAATATTTTACATGGTAGCTGCTGCTGATCGATCTGTGTATCATATGAATACATGTAGAGCACTGAGTAATACAATGATTTAGAAGTTGTCAACATAAGCTGTATTTTATTTTGAAGAATACTTAGGCTGGAGGTAATGATTAGGAGCAGATTGTGGTTAGTAACAGTCATTTGAGTATTTTTCTCTTTCTTTCTCCTCTGTTTTTGAACGCTGAACATACATTTTAGTCCAGCCGGTAGTTGACAATGCCTTTATTTGTCATGCCAGGGTATATATTGTGAACATGTTCTTACACTGTCATCAGTGCATGGTATTTATTTGGGTTTATATTGCAGTGCTGACATTGTGTAGGTGTGGAAGCCCAGGCTGTGTGTCTATACATCAACAACATAAATAATGGAAATATATGTGAAAAATGACACAACATGAATTAAGTCAATAATTATCTATGGAATAAGACATACAAGCTATGTATTTATTTTCCTTTGTTAGAGGTCCAGAAATGGATAGCTTATAATTTGTAGTGATATATGTATGCAGATACTGTATGTGTGTGCTCTGAGCATGTGATATTTTTCCATAACCTTCTTATAATCATTTTTAATTTCTTCAAGTGTGTGTTTTTCCTTAGTATCTGTCCCTCTTATAAAAGGCAAAGTATTAGACATTAAAAAAATAAATAAATTAGACAGTATTTATACAGCACATTTACAAAGTGCTTTGCATGGTTGAACACAAATTAAACATTGAGAGAGGCTAATTAAATCAAACAATTAAAAATTACATAAAGTTAAGAGATAAAATTCTGCAACAGTGCTGTACAGTTAAAATGGACATACAGTGGGGAGAACAAGTATTTGATAAACTGATGATTTTGCAGGTTTTCCTACTTACAAAGCATGTAGAGGTCTGTAATTTTTATCATAGGTACACTTCAACTGTGAGAGACGGAATCTAAAACAAAAGTCCAGAAAATCACATTGTATTGTAAGTATTTGATACATCCATCCTCCCCTCAATACGGTGCAGTCGTCCTGTCCCCTTTGCAGAAAAGCATCCCCAAAGAATGTTTCCACCTCTATGCTTCATGGTTGGGATGGTGTTCTTGGGGTTGTACTCATCCTTCTTCCTCCAAGCACGGCGAGTGGAGTTTAGACCCAAAACCCCTATTTTTGTCTCATCAGACCACATGACCTCCTCCCATTCCTCCTCTGGATCATCCAGAGGGTCATTGGCAAACTTCAGATGGGCCTGGACATGCGCTGGCTTGAGCAGGGGGACCTTGTGTGCGCTGCAGGATTTTAGTGTGTTACTAATGGTTTTCTTTGAGACTGTGGTCCCAGCTCTCTTCAGGCCATTGACCAGGTCCTGCCGTGTAGTTCTGGGCTGATCCCTCACCTTCCTCATGATCATTGATGCCCCACGAGTTGAGATCTTGCATGGAGCCCCAGACCGAGGGAGATTGACCGTTATCTTGAACCATTTTCTAATAATTGCGCCAACAGTTGTTGCCTTCTCACCAAGCTGCTTGCCTATTGTCCTGTAGCCCATCCCAGCCTTGTGCAGGTCTACAATTTTATCCCTGATGTCCTTACACAGCTCTCTGGTCTTGGCCATTGTGGAGAGGTTGGAGTCTGTTTGAGTGTGTGGACAGGTGTCTTTTATACAGGTGACGAGTTCAAACAGGTGCAGTTAATACAGGTAATGAGTGGAGAACAGGAGGGCTTCTTAAAGAAGAACTAACAGGTCTGCGAGACCCGGAATTCTTACTGGTTGGTAGGTGATCAAATACAATTAATTATTTAAAAATCATACAATGTGATTTTCTGGATTTTTGTTTTGGGATTCCGTCTCTCACAGTTGAAGTGTACTTATGATAAAAATTACAGCGCTCTACATGCTTTGTAACTAGGAAAACCTGCAAAATCAGCAGTGTATCAAATACTTGTTCCTCCCCACTGTATAGGACAAGATGGAAAAGCAAGGATGCACGAAAATTAATAAAAGGCTATTTTGTAAAAGTATGTCTCAAAGTGATTTAAAACATGTTACTGATCCTGCAAGCCTCAGGTTCTCATGGAAGCCTTTTTCAGAGCTGAGGAGCTCTGACTGCAAAAGCCCGGACACCTTTAGTCTCGAGCCTAAACGCTGTGTATTCCATTTAACATGTATATGTATACAAACATTTCTCTTCTCTGTGTGATTATATTCATACTCTAGGGTATGGACTACCTTGCCATGAAGCGATACATCCACAGAGACCTGGCCACTCGAAACATTCTGGTGGAGAGCGAGATGAGGGTGAAGATCGGTGATTTTGGCCTGACCAAGGTGCTGCCACAAGACAAAGAGTACTACACTGTCAGAGAGCCTGGGGAAAGCCCCATCTTTTGGTGAGAAAAACACACTGCACGTGTTTGTTAGCGGTATATTTGTGGTTTGACCTTTTTATGAAAATGAAGAATTGACTCTTTAAGAATGTTTTTGACTAGCGGTTATACAGTTGTGGTAAGTATTTTAAGTATTGTAACCCTTTGTGACTGATCTTTAAACACAGGTGTTAATGATAACACTGGGAGAAAAATATGATTTTGTTTTTCTACATCCAGACTGAGTGTGTCTGCTGTACGGCGTCATATCTGACCGCTTACCATGTAGGACTTGTTGACTTAAGAGAGACTACTTTATATATGCGTTATGTACTGCATGTGTTTCAGGTATGCTCCAGAGTCACTGACAGAGAGCAAGTTCTCTGTGGCATCAGATGTTTGGAGTTTCGGTGTTGTCCTCTATGAACTCTTTACTTACAGTGACAAAAACTGCAGCCCACCAGCGGTACTGCACTTCTTTCTTACTTCTTTTTTTTTACTTTTGGCTTTTTAGTTTGACAATTTCACTTTTCTGTCACATAACCATTTTCCTATTCAATTACAAATTGCTTTGTCAACTGTCTGACTAATGTAATTGAGCTATAAAACAATCACCAGTATAATTAATTTGTAGTGTTAAAAAATCTGTTGATTAAGCACTCAAAAACAGTAAACACTTTTTCATCTATTTTAATTTTGGGAAGTTTTAGCAAGCTGTTTTTACTAAAGCCAAACAAAAACTACTTTTTTCCTTTTGCTGTCCTTGAGCTGAGAAGCACCTGATTTAACTGTATTTTGCATGAAGATGCGTAGAGAACCCTGTTTCTTCTACTCCTTTTGTTGTGTTCCAGGTATTCATGGAGAAGATGGGAAATGAAAAGCAGGGTCAGATGATCGTCTACCATCTGATAGACCTGCTCAAACAGGGATATAGGTTGCCTGCTCCTGATAATTGTCCAAAGGAGGTCTGTAACTCCAATGAAACTGAAAAAAACTGCAGAAAAGGGCGCCATGTCATGCCATATCATTAAATGATTTATCCAGTAAAAAAATTGTAGAGAACCTTTCATTGCATAAATTATATTTTTTCAGAAGCTATTATATATCCAAAACGTAAGAAGTCCATGGCTGGTTCTATGACTGTGAAACTAGCTTAGTTATTAAAGTAGAATGCAATAATTATACCTGTTTTATTGGGGTTTTTTTTCTGTGTTAATGTTGTTCTGATGGCTTCCTTCAGATTCACAAGATGATGACTGAGTGTTGGAGCAGTGAACCGAGAATGCGTCCTACTTTCAAGACATTAATCCACAGTGTGGATTCTGTACGAGACAGCAAGGACGATGAGCGGCATTGATCCCTGGAACCTTTGACCTTTTAGGTGTTGACTCCCGGGAGTCAGTGCTCACAGGTCTTAACAGAACAATGAATGTCTTGGTGATGTCTGGGTTTACTGCAGTGATGCGGTCTCAAGTATCCCCCCCCCCTTTTGGTGCTCTGCGTGTCTGTCAGCTCAAATAACATGAGTGGTGACATCCACTTTCTTTGCAGTTTACTCACTTCCACCTATAGCCACACAAACTATACAAATGATCAATTAGTACACTACATCGGACTCGGACACCAAACAAAACATTTCTGATGCCTTTTAAGAACATTTCAGTATGGGATATATTATTTTCTTTGTGTTATTTCTACATGTTTTGCTTTACAAATGGATTTAGACAATAGCGTGTGGACTGGAGGAAAGATTCGGTTCTTTAAGAATTCACGATGTTCTCTACTTTCAGTAAGTTGTGTTAAATATTTAAGCCTAAAGACAATATGCTCACTCCTTTTTGTACTTTTATTTTTCTCAAATGCGACCTATTTTGTTTAACCAGAGAGGCCAGCCACCTGAATACACACTTGAACTGAACCTCACTTTTAAGGAGACAGACTTTTTGCTTGATAGTTTTCACGACTTGATAAAGGACAGACGCACCAGCTATACTTCTGTCACAAGGGGACCCACTATGAACATCTCTACAAGCGAGTCAGATTTCTGCTGTCACAGTGGACGTGTGTTTTTGTGTGTGTTCCAGATATTCATTGCACATTGAGGAAGATTCAGTGTTTTATTCTGAGCCAGTGAAGCCTGTCTTAAGTGGTGTTCGTGTGCTATGACTACACATCTTTCCACACAAGAGAGGTCAGGCATAACTCGCCTGTAGTTTGTTTACATTATTTTATGCACAAACAATGAAATACATTGGGGACACAGCAATAACTGCTCATTATTAATCTTGGAGAACTAGGTATCTAGTAGTGTCATCGTGGGCTCATACAGTACCGTATCATTTTTGTTTTTAAAGGAAACTGGAAATGATGGTGTTGCCTGTATATATTTTACAGTATGACGTGTTGTAAGGCTGTACTATCTGCTATCTAATGTGAAAAGTTGAATAGTTTATTTTGCTGAAAGGTGGAGAAAGGGTAATGAAGGGAGTTCCTTTTATTTTCGGCAGTTGATGCAAACCTTGGTTTTATTTAAAACTCATTTGACTTTCGTTTATTATTTTTCCATCCATGTAAATATATATATGTTGAATGTGTGTGTTATGATGTGCATTACTTTGTTGACCACAAATGTATCAGTGGTCACAAGGAGATAAAAAAAACAAAACAACAACAACAATTATTTGAATGTTTAAAACTTTATGTACCAAATGTTAATGATTGAAGGAAGCAGAGTTGGTCAATATTTGGAATAGCTTTCTTTCTTTCTAATTTTAAAATGTCCTCAAGGTTGTTTTATGCTGTAAACGGCAGGCCACAAACACGCACGTACAAAATGTCACGACGGATACCCTCTCGCTTTGCTAGGAATGAGTCACTGTAAAGCCAAGAGACAAGTTTTCTCACTTACAAACATACAGTGTGCCTATGCGCTCCCACGCCCTCACCGCTGGGCAGTATTTTTGTCTGGTGTGAAAGAGAGATTGTCAGTTTCTTCAGAGTTGCTATGTCTACAATGGAAAATGTTGGGTTTTTTTCAGATTTTGTTGTATGCGACTATTATTGTGATATGTGAAAGTCCAAATGTGATTTTGTGAAATATCATTTTATATCCAGAGATTTTCAGACAAACGGATTTTTAACCAGATTAAACTGGCGCTTCTTTCCATTTATTTTAATTTGTTGCAGTGCGAATGACGTGATGGCTGGTTTTGTCATGTGATGGCAACCCACAGCTCCCTTTTTAATACATTTCGGTGTAATTAGATGTAAATACTGAAAGATGGAGTATATTCGTGGTGTGTATACTTTTATTAAACAACACATACTGTAGTATTAGACATGAAAATTGTACTTGTCAATCTCAGTGTGGCTTCACATTAAAGTTCAGTCAAACAGTTAAGGAGTCTTAAGTTTTTTCAAGTCTAGTACATGTTTTGTACATTTGAAAACCATTTCTACATTTAGAGCAAGCAATCGTTGGGTTTTTGTGCAGGTATGTTTTAGCTGCATCACGAAGGGTTAAAAGTAAAAAAATAAAATCTATCCACTCTTTTGGAGCAGTGTCCTCGGGGTGTTGACAGAAAGCGTTCAGGCAGGTGTAATGTTGTGAACAGAGGCTAGCAATAAACTCACAGCAGCCTAAATGACGTTAATGTGTGCTATTGGCCATGATCATAGGTTAGTCAGATAATCTGCAGGCGAGAATATAGATGCTGTTTACTGCTGCAAATTTCCTTCCATGCACATCAACAAGTGTCGTAGCCAATATGATACTGCTCACCATTTCATATTAACAGTATTTAAAATTTATTCTCAATGATGCTGACAGGGTGACATAACGGTACATACAGAGAGCATGGTTTTCTTTTTAAAACAAAATATCAAACAAGCAAGGAGAATAAAGGAGACGGAGAGACATGAAGTTGGCGTGATGTGATGAGTCTTTGTAATTCAGTTGGTCTTTACTGTTTTGTATATTCTGTGCAATAAGACAAGAGACTCCATATTTTACCTCCTACACATCTTTCCACAACTGGACACTGTCCATTACAGCTCATCACACCATCTTCATGTCACAACCCCTCTGCCATCACCCCTCCTCTCCTCCCTGCCTCAGCACAAGCGTCCGATATCATTTTTAGTACACCCCTGGCTACAACACTTCCCTGCCACACCCAGAGAAAAGTTCCTCTTCTTCTTGCTCGAAATGGGCCAGTTGGCTGCCGCTGGGTCCCCGTCTCGCTCTTCCAAAACCGTGGATGGCTGAGACTTCTCCAGCGAGTCACTCAGCTGTTGCTGCATGTCTTCTGCGGCCCCGTAAAGAGCAAGGAGGTCTGCCAGGGAGTAAGAGGGGGGAATATGGAGAGGAGGGAGGGTGTCTGCTGTGAGCTCTGCGCCAGGTTGCCAGGCATGCTGGTTGTGCTCCACTGTAACGTCACTGAGGGAACTCCACTGGAAAGGATCTGGGGGAAGAAAAAGGATAAATACCATAATAACCTCAAGAACAACCAGGAGTTTTATATAAAGCTCAAACTGTGGAGTATTTGTCAAATGCACCTTTAGTCGTGCTAAAATCAAAGAGGCAGAAGGTAATTTTTAGAGGACTGACAACACAGGAATAATGGTAATTACTCACTTAAAGGGTTTTCAGACTATGTCCAGTTACCAGTGAACATGAGCTGACCAAGGTGCTGAAATATGAGGCTCTGTCAATCAAGGGAGGGCAGGGGGGGCTTTGTCCCCTAATTAAAACACTGTGGCAGTCTAACCCTTTGATGGGCAACAAATTACCATCTAACATTATTACAAATGAAGAAAGCAATCAATTAGTTCTTCCTCTCTTCAATCATCTTTAGCTCTTTACGTAGAAAAAATTAATTCCTTACACTACACCTCGGCTACAGAATGTATTTACAGCCAGGTTTCACTATATGGTTAAAAGTAGATTCTTTACAAGTAGAGAATACTTTTTGAAACATGTCTGTACACGTGAACATTTTTTTTGTACTGTTAATTTTAAGATATACACCAATTAGTGTGTGCACATTAAGCAATCAATGAAACCGCAGTAATGGTAACTCACCTAAGTCCCCTTCTGTGGATCGTTTCCATCGGGAGCCGCCACAGGTGAAAATGACTGCTCTGATGAACTCTCTCCCGCACAGTTTCACCCCGTAGTCCCTCGGCATGATCAGCCTGCTCATCATATCAGCCTTCACACAGCCGCACATGCCACCGAAACACACCACAGCCATGGCAAGACTCAACCTCCAGAGCATTTTTTCCCCCTCGTCCTGAAACTTACGGAAGGAGCCGGCTGGTTTGCGCTGCACAGGAGGTTCAGCTGAGTTCCACCTGAGCTCTGAGCAGTGTTTCAAATCCTGCTGGTTTGTTTCTGTTAGGAGAGTTCTGTTGCAGCCAGTTGAGATGAATGCTGAAGTTGGAAAAGATGCTTCTGTTTGTCTGTCTTGTGTTGCAGAGCAGACTTTGGTCTCCTCTTCTTGTACTCTCTGCAGTCCTAGTCACTAGTTCACTCGTCAACTTATGTTTTCAACCCCAACCCTCTCCCTCCCACTATGACACACACACACACACACACACGTCATTTAGATTGATGACAATGACGTACTTGGAGCTATTTCTTTATTGTCGTAACATTAGGGGAATGTGCACATTGCTCATACACTAGCTTAAGTGATGGCTTTGAGACAAACTATATGAAGGCATGTATGATGTCTTGAACACCCAACGGGGAAGAAATTAAGATTCAAAGTGGTTTAGGCTTCTTTAACACTGTGAGTTTATGTTAAAAAAAACAACAACAACAAAACAACTGGTGGTTTGGTGTTTACAAGGTATTTGGCTTAGGAGCTTTGCATCAAGCACCTTGTCACAAAGATGACTGGAGAAGAGAAATTATTTGTGATATTTCTTTTTATTGAATTTACAAATTTAATTTCCATCATGTCAAACAAGTTAAAATTATGATTAATACATAATGCTTAAATATCAGCACCTTGTAATATTTTACATCAGTGAATATTACTTACAGGTGCATCAATTCCAACTATAGATTTGGTATAAAGCTCCTTAACACTTAAACTCAATTGTGGCAAATTAACTCATCAAAAGTTTTAGTTTGGGGAAATTACAATCTTCTGCTGTCAGGACAAACATCTGCCGTGTGAGAATATTTACATTCAAATCTCCATTAAGTAATATGTTTGATATTATCATTTTGATCGCTCTTTAGTGGATTATCCAGTCGGTTTGAGCAAAGAAGCTTTGACAGCGAGTGTATCACCTGCCTGCCAGGAAACGTCAGATATCCAATGTGTCCAGTGTGAACCAAACTCGAGGTAAAAAAACATTACACGTCAGGTGACACGGAAATGTACACCACTAAGATTTTCATGTTGCTTTGTGTCTGCTTAAGGGTTAAATTACTGATTGAGTATAGGAGTCTTACTGCCCTCTAGTGGTCAGTAATCACTTCATGCAGCTTTAACTAGATACACAACAAGCACAACAACTTGTTGAGTCATGCGCTTTGTCCCAATTCAATACTACATGCAGAGTCTGCGACGTGTGTTACTATGTGGTGAATGAAGTGGAAAATAAACACACAAACTAAATACGGGTGAGTTTTGAGTGTGCTGTTGATGGACACTATTTAGGAAATGGAGCTGCTCACAGCTGTTAAGAAAAGAAAAGAAATTGTGGATGGTGGTGAAACAGCTCCAAAGAAAATTAATATTAAACCTTAGGAAAAACATTGACGTATTTTTGTTAAGTTTAATTGGCTGAAAGTTGCAGTTTCATTGACATCCGACATCACACATATAATTTCCTGTTAGCATAAAATAGTAAAGTATGTTGCCATTTTTGGACATTAAATGGTAAAACAGTATACTATGACGATTAGTATGTAGTTTATATTGTATAAAATTTGTATGTAGTCTGGATTTGGGGCACAGAGTGAATTACGTTACAAAGGTTAAATGTAATTGATGCAAATATTGATATTACAGATTTATTTCATGATAACTAACTTTTTAAGTATTTTGAGTGGTATTCTGCATCAGCCAATGTGCTTTTAAAAAAGTACTTATAACAGTTGTTCAGTGCTAAGAGGGTTTGGCTACTGATGCACCTCTAATAGTAACCACAAAAACAACATAATTATTTTTATATTCATTAATATTGAGACTACTCTGACACTATGATACATAATTATTACAATTTCCATAACTAAGCAAAAGCAGAACGGGTGAATGCGTGGACCGGACGATTAGGATTTTGTCATGTCATTTCTCCAAGAAGGAAGTGAGGCTGCTTTTAGCGCGGCGGGCCTTCTCTATGCTTTCAAAAGTTGGAGTCCCATGAGGCAAGTCCAGACAGTCATGTTCAGACGTCATGATACTCTCAGCCTCCCCTAAAGGCACAAGGGGGAAACAAAATGCGGTTTAACAGATATAGCTGGTTTTAGTTTGTGTACATATGTGTATGTTGTTAATACCCCCAAAATTAATTCTGCATGGGAGGTATAAACATAGATTAATTTAACAGAAAATACTGTGTCTTACTGTGAAACAAACAGCTAGTCAGTGAAAATGACAGGGGCGTGGGTATATAGGGGGAAAATATATTTTGGAAAACTACAATAAGATTTAACTTTTATAATAAAGGCACTTTTGTCTGTTTGACAATGAATCTTGAAAAGAAATAGGTTGCTTTAAGTGTTTGTAACATAAGTCTAACTCTATTTCTCAGACTTAAGATTGAAAAGTGTGGTTTCACTACCAAAAAACAAAACATACTTTAAACTGTATGTGACATGTTGATGTGAAGCAAACGGATAAAGAATATTTTTCTGGCCAGCATTTAAGCTTTGCTAATGGTCGGTGATGACAATAATGACAACAACTGCTTAGACTTACTTCTCATACGATTAATAAGTGTCCCATAGGCGCTGTCCATCTGGTAGGCAAATATGAAGCCGAGAGGAAAGATGGGAGCCAAGAGGGCCGGTCTCTTTCTTTTAACAGCACTGTGGAAAAATAAAGAGGCAAAAAGAAGACAATTTTGTCAATATGCCAAAAAAGATAAATAAAGCACTTTGAGAAAGCATACTTCCATTTAGGTTATACAATATTTTATTACAGAAAGTTTCATATGGGATTTGCAATAAATTACACACAGTTCTACAGTAGACTATTATGTTTACCAACTAAATCCTAGGAATATATAAAGACAAATTGGAAAATGTGAAATGAATCAGATTCATGACGATTAAATTACAGCTATGTAAATTTTTCATATTGCTGTAGTGCCACCTATAGGTGGCTTGTGATTTTAGCAAGACTAACTGTTAAAAGGCCTAAAGTGTTAAAAACTTGATACACTTGGAGCTGCAGCAGTAAAGGCCACTGGAGTGTGATTCATTTAATACTGAAGCTGTTAAGATCACACTTTACAGGCTGTCTTCTGACTGCACATGATTACTGTGCATTTGTGTGTGTGTTAGAAACAGATCATCTGGGTGAATCCTATCTTGAGGTGACAGGTAAGAGCTGTTGCAACCAAAACTCACCCTACAGCCAGTCCCAATGTAGCCACTGTAAAGAAAGTGCCAAAGTATTTGAGAAACTCTCTGGACCAGGCAATTTGCATAGCCATCTGTCTCTCTCTCATCTGGTTCTGCATCAGGATCTGACGCTCCATCTATGCATACGTGTGCGTACACACACACACACACACACACACACACAAGAAAGGACACATAAGCCTAACAGGCCTTTATAGCCAATTATGGACACGGCATAGTACCTCTCAATGTACAACTTCATAACCTGAAATATTTAATGGTCAGAAAAAGAGTTTCAGGAATACAATCTGAACAAACAAATGACGAAAAAAATAAAACACTAGAGTCTGACTGATATATTATTTTATATATATATATAGATAGATAGATAGATAGATAGATAGAGAGATAGAGAGAGAGATAGAGAGAGAGAGAGAGAGAGAGAGAGAGAGAGAGAGAGAGAGAGAGAGAGAGAGAGATAGATAGATAGATAGATAGATAGATAGATAGATAGATAGATAGATAGATAGATAGATAGATAGATAGATAGATAGATAGATAGATAGATAGATAGATAGATAGATAGATAGATAGATAGATAGATAGATAGATAGATTGTCCCTTAACAATAAAATGTCCAATGCAGAAGTCAGGAGTAATTGCTACATACTTCAAAGAAATCAAAGCGATACTACCTTTTTTATACAGTCTATATGTTGCACAATTAAAATGACAACAAGAGAAACAAAAGGTATCAGTACAGCTGGATATTCAAGCAGCGAGATGGACAGGCAGACAGACAGTCAGTGGGACAAAGAAAGGGTCAAAGGAAATAGCGATAGCCAGTCCAGCCTTAGAAACACTGTGTCCATGCTGATGCACCTCAGTCAGATGAATCTTTTGTCTGCCGTTTCCTCTCTGACACTCACTACACGTTTCCTGCATAACAATTTCTATGGAGCTGACTGAGTGACATTCTCATTGAAAAAAGCCATTATTCTCAAAAAGTGAATGTGTCAAAGATGAGCTTTTATTTCCACTTAACAGGAAAGTGATACTAACTCGCTGGCAATGCAAAGGTTAAAAAAAAAAAGTGACCACGGTGACATTCAAGTGAGTCAATGACGTGACGTGGATGACACAAATTACAACTTGTCGGAAAAAGCAAAGTTTTGATTTCTGACTCTCAGCCCAATATTCCCGAACAATTTGGTGTTTCAGCATTAATGGTTGAACACTGTGGGATTCAACCTAAAGTGAGTGAAATTAGGTGGGGGCCTGTGACACAGAGACTTGCCTCTACAATATCTGTTTTTGAGGTCTACATATAAAACGTTTCTAAAATAGAATGAATGAGTGAATTAAAAAAAAACACTTAAGACATAATACTGTCGCTGCAAGCAACTAGCTAAACATAAACAATTGTCCAGGGCATTATCCAACAAACAACTACTAAATATCGTTAATAAATTGGCCTACAGTACTATAATGCACATTACCTACACGTCCTGTAAAGCTTTAAGAATTAGAAAGAAAACTAATCGACATCCTTGCAAGAAACTAGGCAAAAAATCTACTGTTTATGAAGGTAATTTAGTAGTGTGTTAGTAGTGTTAAAAAGTTTCGCCCAGTTAACCTGGTTTGCAACATTTGTTGTACACCTTATTTTCGGACCGTGAAGCTGCTCATGTTTATCCAGCTCTGCTTCGCCTCATCAAGTTTTAACTTGTTTTCATTCATGTCTTGTAAAATATCTAACAAAAGGTTTGACATAGGAAAGTAATTCTAATTTACCACAATTGAAATAGCACAAATTAAACACCATTTTTGGTTAATACTAATTTGTTCTCCTGTGGCAACCATGTGAAGAACATCCAAGTGTGGTGATTTAATGACTAAAATGCTTGGTTACTAATATCAGTAGTAGAGGAGAAGGAAATTGGTTAAATTAAGAAAACAGCTCAAGAGGGCTAAGCTTTCATCACCAAGGTGAGACTTCACTGGTAAAAGTACAGTACTCACATTAATGAAGTGCAATCAACCCTCTAATCTAATTTAATATGATTTTTAAGCCTGCTGTTAGACTGATTGTGGTTCAATCAACATTTGTGAACATTATTTTAGTCAGACACCACTCAAAAAGCACAAAACCTATAGTTAATAGATATGATGATTTAACTGCATCTCTTTTCATGAAACTGGATACTGAGCAGAACTGAACAACTGTTGTCTTGCACAACTGTTCCCATTTATGTGAGACAAACATCTCAACTCCATGTGAGTCTGTACTTGGAGGAGGGAGGTTTGCTTATGGACGGTAAGGACATGCCACACCAATATTATATAAACTCCTTTGTATTATCTCTCCTCTCTGCTGATTAAAATTGTTAATTATGTGAGTACTCTGATTAAAAAAATATATTCTTTAATTTTCAAACAGGCTTGTGTCCATTTGGCATTTTTCTCTCTCACCGCACAAGCGCTACATCCCAATGCTCCCCATCTGCCAGAGAAGAACACTATGGCAACCATGTCCCATAGAAATTACGTTTGTATATTACTTAACTGTTTCATAATTACATTTTGGTGACAAACGCTGCCCGGATTATATTCAGTGACAACATTACGTTGAGTGAATGAAACACTATATTTATGTGGCTCACATCAAATAATGATTTGATTTTTTCTTCTGTTCACTCACTTTGTATTTTGTTAATTGATACATATAACCTATTAACGTGTCTAATTTTGAGAGCATTCTTACTTTACAGCATTTTTTCCACAGTACAGTATGTTGGATTTGGACTGTCAGTTGGACAAACCAACCAATTTGAAGATTTCATAATCAGCTCTGGGAATTTGCCATGACATCTGACTAAACATTTAAATCGTTTAATCAATAAAATAATTGTCTGATTGATCTATAATGCAAATAAGTGGCCCTACTTTATTTATATAGTGTCTTTAATACAAGAAAATGTTTGGTTTCAATGCCTCTAAACACATTTAAGGTTTCGAGAAAAGCCCCCCATCACTCAGTCATAAGCTGGGAACACGGCCATGAAATTCTGTGTACACTTGAGAAATTTTTATGTACATTTTTCTACTTTTGAAATCCATTACTGTAACCAAGCTGACTACACCTGCAGGAAGGAGGAAGCTACAAACTTTTTAATGCCACACTGTTGAGTGCGTCATACTCAAGAGATACACTCTGTGTGGAGTAATGTTTCAGAGTACTGGAAATTACAGCAACCTCTTCTGTAATCAACAATGTTTGTTCTCTAATTGAGGGGTCTACTGAGCCAAATTAGTAAACAAAAGTGAACTCAAGGATGTCTCATTAAAATTAGACATGATTGAAATAGAAACTAAACGCAGCAGCTGTAGAATTATGTTTCGATTAGGCCCCTTTCTGAGGACATGAAGGGGATATTACCCATCCGTTCATTATGGTTCTCAGAAGTGGGAAATCTGTAAAGGAAAGGTTTCTGCTGACGTGGTTAAGAGATGTCACCTCTCGGGAGGTCATCAGGGTCACAAAAGAGGAAGTAGGCCCGATATGTCTGGTCTATATCAGGAAACTACCTATTTCTTGTCAATGATTGTATCCTCTGAGTCACCTGCTTAGACGATTCTTTTAAAAAAAAAAAGGTCTAGAATATTCCAATGGAGATCAAACGTAGTTAAGAAGAGATGGAAATTGTCTTTGTGGGGGCGTAATCAGAGTATAATCAGCAATGGTTTAAAACAACACCTGATGATTGGTAGCTTGCCACTTGATTGAATGGCACCACTCTCTATGGCTCATTAAAAGTCAGCTTCAGGGGTGAATTGAAGTGCATTAGTGCAGACTGCAGAAATTACTTCCCCTGTCAGAAATGAGCTTGTAAGTGCAATGCTGGTAATAATCATTTTCATTATTTATACTTCTGCCTATTATTTTTTCAATTAAGTGATTGAGAAAAAAATTTCTCACAAGAGGCTAAAATGATGCCCAATATAATGGTTGCATGTTGTTCACAAGGTCTGTAATCTGTATTTCAACTGTGAACAACACTTTACTATTGTGGACTCTTAAATTTCAGAACCCCAGAACCAACACATGAAGCCCCATGATTTTTCATTTTTCAAAATACAAATTAATCTATTAACAGTTAAGGTTAAAGTTAACTGACAGTAAAAATTACATTATCCTCTGGCCAATTGCCAGCTCTCTCACTTCAGATGGCCCAGACTAAGGCCCATAAAGAATGATTTAAATATTTGACCTCCACAAAACTCAGCATCAGCATTGACGCAGCTGACATGGAATTGAGATGCAAATATGTGTAAATCCTCCTGGACATTTAACTCAGCTTTGATGGACACTCCAGTCATAAACACCAATCATAACCTCTGCCAGCAGAAGCTCTCTGCCAGACAGAATCTCAACGCACTCTCTGTTGCACCCCACCTACCGCTCCTCTTGTATCAAAGCATCAAAGAGCTAGTCCTTGTCTATTGCTCCATCTGCTACTTCACCACACTCACAGTCACCAATAGAAACAAACTCATCAAAACCACTAAACACACACAGCCACTAAATTCACTTTCAACATCACAAATGTGAACATAAATGGAGTTATTATATAAAATTACTCAATGTATAGTCACAATCACAGATCTTCGATGTGTGAAAGACAACAAAAAAAAACAAGCTTGCTTTGCCAGACAATTTGTGCCTTCTATCAACGTGCCTGTAAACGGTGTATCATCTGAAAATGTCCAATATTAGCGCAGAGACACTTTTACAGTATTAGTGCAGATACCAAAATTATATAAGTTTCTCTATTAAAATCACTTTTATTTATTTATTTAACAGAAGAAACCAAACTTCTCAAATGTTAAATTTCTAAACAAAAGGAACCAGTCCATAATTGGCAACATTTTGGTTTACTTCAATTTTATTAGGAACTATCAAATAAAAGAATAAGCGAACAAGATTATGAAACCATCTGTCATATTATTTAGTTCTAGATACTTGTTGCAACATTTCGGTTGTAATAGATAAGTATTGAAGTTCAACACCCATTGCAATGACCCTAACCATGTGGTCAATGTGAGAAATACTTCAGGGACTGTTGCTCACAAGCACCAACACCTCTAAATATTTATATATGCACTGTATATTGTGAACTGTTAAGGTTCTGAAATTATTGTTTTTTTAATGTTTTTTTCCATGGCCTATTTCCATGTGATGACTATGAGTTTTGAAACCTAATCAACTTCACATTACCTTAACCTACTTGTGTAAAAGTAGACATGTCTCTCAGTGGAAACATCACAAGGGATGAAGAGATTTGGAGGTAAGCTTGGACACACGATGAGTGTAAGATGGTGATGGGAAAAAGCAGTGAAGAAAAAGTGAAAGAAAGAAATGAGCCACGACGAATTCACTCTGAAGGTGACAAAGTGAGAGCATAGCTGAAATGTAAGCGGGAAATTCACTGACATTTTCTAAAGGGCTGCAAGAATCCGCAGAGTGGGACAATACTGTTACACTCGAATCATCACGGCCTACATGCTGACAGAAGGGAAAGAAGCAGACGTAACAGAAAGAGACCAAGAGCAATCCACAACACACTCAGATATTATGGCTATCATGTTATTTGTCTTAATGTTATAAGTCTTAAATGTCCAAGTAGTTTTTGACAATTTAAAACATAATTTTTGTATTTTGCATAATTTGTGTTTTGAACAACAACAAAAAAAAAATACTCGTATGATATAAAGTCGTTAATGTTTTGATTAACCTCACTTAAGTCATACAGTCTATCAATAATTACTTCATGCCCGATTAGGTGTGGGGGTTCCTCAGGGCACCATTCTTGGTCTCTTTCTGACAAAACAGAAATTTTAATAATTTGCTCTTTGCCCAAACCTGTTTTGACAACATCTCTGCATTCACATTTGTGGTGCACAGAATTCTGTAAGATAAAGAATTTTATTTTGATTCATGTTTACATTTTAACAAGTATATTAAAACAGCTCACTCAGTCTTGCTTCTTTTACCTCACGGATATAGTAAATATTAAACACAGATTGCCTTTCCAGGATACTGAGAAAGTTATCTTGCTTTAATCCGTCAGTCTGAATCTGTATAGGTGAAAGGTGTGTACAAAAGGTGAAAAACTTAGTATTTCCGTAATTTTAACCAGTGTTATTGTTTAATTCTATTTATTATTGTCTCCTTTTTCCTTATTGTTTTCCCTATATCTGATCAATCTTTTATGTCATTTTAATCACCCTGTGTTCTACAACTACTTTATGTAAAGTATGTTTTGAAAAGGAAATAAAACATAACCAAAATTAGAGCGTGACTGATAAATCGGCATACTGATACTATCGCCCGATATGAGCTAATGCCAGATAAGTCAGTATCTGTGTATATAACAGCTGATAAATATGCAATTAAAAAAGAAACTGAGAGACGGATTCCTCAATCATGTTATTAGTGTTGTCGTTGCAAAGTTTGTCCACCAGAGGGTACACTACAACTCCCTTGTTGGCAACAAACTTGAAACGCCACCAATCCGCCACAAAACACAGCAATCAAATGAACTTTTGTTCAAATAGATATTTATAATAATAAAAAAAGTTTATTTTTAACTGCATTAGACTGCATTTTGTCATGTTATTTTGGCAAAGTCTCATAATTACATGTAACTAGTGATAGATCGCCGATTAATAGGGCTGATACCTGGCATTTTGAGATAATTTGCGTCAGCCGATACCTGCACTCTCGAGGCAGATAAACACAAAATGTCTGCAGAGACACCTGCAGGCAGCCTTGTCAATATGGCTTAGGGCTGGATTATATGACCTAAAAACAAAATCACTTGCTAATGCTTAACTATTAAAGGTGGGATGTTCTTTTCGATTCACAAATGTCAAACACTGAAGTTAATTGATCAAAAGACATCTAAGTGACAGGTGCTGTTATAAGAGCAGAAGTTAGGTCTTTAAGGCCATTGCAATGCGTTTGTATAGCAAGTGCTATACTAACCATGTTAGTGCTCCCCCTTAAAATGACAGCTAATCTAAAATATATATTGCCATACTGTAGAGAATAATGCAGTTGAATGTCATTTTTTGACTTTTGACAAACTGTACTCTCCCTCAAACAGTCACGTTCAGAAATCTACAGCTTCACCCAATTTATTTTTCTATTTCATTAATTAATAAATAAATTCCATCTAAAACAACATGCAACTGGCTAAGATAACCATGTAATGTATATTAGATTGTTCTCTGCACAGAATAATTACATTATACATGACTTTTCTGATCGGCATTATATATCGGCCATTAGCTGCCCTGATAATCGCCGATAATCTTTCTTTATGTTATGTGTTTCTGAAAAAAAAGGGGGGAAAAGAACTCTGATAATTTGCAATATCAGATTTTAAAATCACATATCAAAATCATATTGGTCTTAAAAATCCCATAACGGTCAGGCTCCAGTCAGGGAGGTCTTTGCTCACCTACTTTACACTCAAAACCACTCAAGTTCAGTGACTGTGAATAAAAAGCGAAACACCACTTTTAGCAGTGAGGACTGATTTTCAAATAGAAAGTGAATAAAAGTGTCATTTACATCATTTCAGAGATGCCATTTATCCGCAGGACATGCGTCACACAAACACTCATATCCAGTGAATTTTCAAGTAATGTTTAAGATGGTTCAAACACAACACACAATGACTTTGACTTCAGAGTCCACAAGGCAAACACGTGGAAAGGATCAATTAGCTATGAGTAATGTGACTTGAAAACACTGGCAAGCAATCATCTTAGACATCTTAATGCAGGGGGAGGCAACAGCCTTCACAGATATTCTGAAATTGCTAGGGTCAATCTTACTCATTAAATTTGGTGAATTGGAAAATACATATCATAGAGGCCTAACAGTTGACCATTAGCGACCCTTAAGATTTTTTTTTGAATGTTAGACATTTGAGTATATTTTGTTCAGCCAAGATCTGAAAGGTTAAATATATTAATCAAAATGAAAAAATAGAAGCTATTGTCACAAATGCTTTCAATTATTTTTAAGCAGACAGATAATGGTAAAATTTAAATGTCTTACTCATTTGTATTCAAAAGTGATTCTGAGTGTGAATAATAAATATGAAACTATCTGTAGTTAAGTTGATGAAACAATGTAGATCCACTACAGCAATGCTTAAACATGTACCTAATATTTACATGTGAGTCATGTCACAACCCCAAATGAGGGAGGTCTGAAACTCAATTGCCAAACCTTTGCCATCACTAAATAATATTAGCCATCATCTACCACATTTACAGCTGGGAGAGCAGGAGAAAATTACAGAGCAGAAAATACAACAAACCTTTTGGGCGTAAGTCGGATAATGTCATTGGTGTTATGACAGTCACACATACCCCACCTGCTGCTCAGCTGCTTGCAGGCATGAATAAATCACAACAAATTGGCCCCAAAAATGATAAGAAAACAATCGTTTGTTTTGTTCTGCAGTTTTAAATGAAAAAATAAATAAATAAACAAAAAATGTAATGAGTGCAATAAAACATGTGGTCTCTAAATGGAAATGGTGACTTTCGCACTGAAGCTTGCTTCGACAACGTGTGATTCAAGAAGGAAAGACAGAACACAGGGTTGACGATAGACAGCTCGATCGCACAGATCAATGTGAATTGAAGGTTTTCTGAACCAAACTGCCAAAACGTTTGTCCACGTGGGCTGGGTTCACTGGAAAAATTGACAGATTTACCAAAGATATTCCTTAGCCTCATGTTTACTGTGTGGTAATTTGATTAAAAATATATTTTTATATGAATATGGACTATGTAAGTACAGTGTCAACTGAAATATTAATCGAGGTAGATTAAGATAGCCCGATAGATCAGGTAATAAAAGGAGGTCCTCATGTGTCAGTTGATATTGTGCTTTAGTAGTCTAGATAATAAATAATAAATTCCTTTATTCCTAAACAAAATTACAAATTGATCAAATTGACACACAGCAAATATGGGGTTTTTGGGGCCTTGGGGTTAGCTGCCTGCTTTGCCCAGCAGGTAAACCAGCCTTGACTGGTACAACATGTTTTACTTGCCAGTAGTACATCTATATTAAGACACTTTCAATTCAGATGAGGTACAAATTAAGCCACAGTATTCCAGCTGACACAGGTACCACAAGGTTGCAGGCAGGGTGCAAAATTAACTGTTTTGCCCAACAGCCAAATGGCTAGTGAATGCTCAAAGTGTACCAGCAACTAAATAGATTACCATTGTTTGTTTGTTTTTGGCTGGTGAGTAAAGTAAATCTACCAGCCATCTGCATATTTTACCAGCATTTGGTGGGTGGCTGTTGCTAATTTTGCACGCTGGTTGCATTGAGTAAGACATGAGTAGCAAATGACATCTTCTGAACAGTGTGGTTTTTAAAAAATATTTTGTCACTGGGTGCACCTTCACTCACCTGCAGCCGAGAATTGTGGAGCATGAATTCTTGCTGCTTTTTAAAGTTTGCATCCATGGGTTTAGAGAGTAGAAACCCCATGGTGGCGCTGCTACTGCGGACCTAGAAATACAATTACTCAAAATGATGCCGCAGTGAAAACATGAGCCAACACAACGTTACCAAACATACACTAACCAGCTTTAAAACTGGATCTGCTTCAACATGTGATTGCACTGCCAGTGTTTCACTGTAACCTCCTAAAACGCTGCAGCTGACAGCTATAACGTTAATTTATAACTTGATGCTAATGTACACATCTTGCTGTTGCTAGCAGTACGTAACGTTAGCAAACCTTAAACAACCTGACGTATGGTTCAGTGCTTTTTGGGCTTTCCTGTTAGTTAATTTGGCTAACGACATGTGCTAATACTGCTGAGTAAAACAGCTCCCCATGCTTCACCTGATATGCTTCGGTTTTAACCTTGAGTGGCTAACTCAACTACAAACGAAAGCTTTAACGTTACATACCTAATAAAATTTGAAGACGGTGAGCTAAATAATATAATTATAGTAGCCACAAAAGCAGCACTAAGAAGCGTTCAAGGGCATGTCTATCAAACCAAAAATGCGTGTACACTGCCTCAAAAATAACCAACTTCCTTTTTCTGTCAGTTACCCATCAACGACAATAAATAAGCACTGTTCCGGTCAATCTTTCAAAATAAAACAGAACCGGACAAGAAGGGTGTTTTACAAATGTCAAAGTAATATAATGATTTATTAACAGGCCTCAGCTCTGACACTGGGGTTGTGAAATTTATAGTTTAACCCGTGTGTTAAAAAGGTATAGTGCTTGTCCCAGGCATTGTACAGGCTGTGGTTCCAGGCTGGTTGTAATTAAATGGGAAATGGCCCCCTCTGTTGGTGTTCGTGGGTCACTTATAGGTTGTCAGCAACTTGTTTGAATTTCAGGTGACTTCATAAGTTATTTAGATGAAGATCTTTAACTACTGTCAGGTTACTTTTCACTCACTCAATTAAAGTATCTCAAGTTATCTTATGTGAAATTATGTTTTATAAACAGTGGTGGATGAAGTACTTAAGTAAAAGTACTAATACGTCACTGTAAAAATATTCTGTTACAAGTAAAAAGGAACATGCATTTCACTGTAACAGTGTACTTGTATAAACTGCTGGGAGTTTAATTTTTAACAAACAAACAAAAAAACATATTTTTTAAACTCTTCATATGTCTCTGTTATATGTCCAAATTTGTAAAATAACTAGTAACAGAAGATGTCAGATAAATGTAGTGAAGTAAAATATTTCTCTCTGAGACGTAGTGGAGTAGAAAAAGAAAGTGGCATGAAAAGACAATTAAAGATACTTTATTGTCACATTAACTCATCCCTCAAAGGAGCAGTGGGCAGCCACTGTGCAGCGCCAACTCCAGATCTGAGCCTGTGTCACTGACTAGAGAGCCTAACGTGTTTTTGATGTTGGGGGAAACTTCAGGAAACCCACGCAGACACAGGGAGAACATGCAAACTCCACACAGAAAGACCAGGACAACTGAGGTTGGAACCCGGAACCTTCTTGCTGTGAGGCCACAGTGCTATCAACTGCACCACTGCGCTGTCTCTTATATTCAAGTAAAGTGGGGTACACTATACTATGATATATATATATCTATACATATAATATAGTATATGTATTTAAGGTTCAGCAGAGAGAAAAGTTTAAAGCATGTGGAGTTTTATATAAATGTTGTGACCTTGATCAACAAGTGGGTATAGATAATAGATTGATGAATGGATTTTGGGGCCCTTAATAAGTGACGCGATAGAAATAAACAAAAAGCAGTTTGGAATGTTAACTCTCCCCCAAATATATTGTACTGACTTTATCAGTCAAAGTGAAAATCTTTATGCTGCAGTGAACGACATCAAGCCAAGCTATCTCTTTTCATTAATGCAGTACGACAGCGTTGGGGACTCTCGGCCAACTTTCACCTTCCTGTACAGAGAGCACCCGATTTTCCACCTCCTTAGGTTTACAGCCAACGTGACATAAATAAATCATGCTACAAGCTATAACATCATAGTATTTGTGTAAATAACTGCCACTGAGGACACCTAAGATGTAATATGATATTTTCTCATATTCAAGTATGGGCTCAAGACCCATAGTCAAAATGGGACTAGGCATCCTTAATTAAACTGACACATAAAGGTTAAAACAAAGGCATAATGCTGCATTAAACTTCACTGCCCTAACTTAACCTTCCCACACTGACTCTTGCTCTCCGTATTTTTTATATCATGGTTCTCTTCCACGTAGTGAATGTTTTAGCATTGTCTTTAAAAAGTTGGACTACCCTGAGAAAAAACATGAGCTTAGTGTCACAAACCCTAACCCTCCAATGACAGGTATTTGATTTGTCTTACCTGTGAGTAAAAATGGGTAGTAAAGTAAATAACAATTATAGATTTTCCAAGGGGTTTCCAAAAGAAATGGAGGAAATATACCAAGACTGACAACAACACAGATAAGATCAGACATGTACCACTAGATTATTCCTACATTATGTAAATAAAGTTGTGTCTGAACATGTCAAACATGTGGAAGTTAATTACTGAATTGATGGAAACCCCACATACGTTTCATGCAGTCATACTGAAGATGGGATGTAGCCAGTGGCAATTAAAACCTGGAAAATTGTTTCGATGCACCTCTTAATTTTTGGAATTCCACCTGGCTGGTAAATTGATGATTGGTTGTCTGATTTGTCAGAATTTCTTCCATTCAGATTTCCAGTTTTCTCAAATGACTTGTGTTGACCTGTGTGAACATCTCTATCTATCTCTATATTGTGTTTTTGAGGGTGTTGTTGGTAGTTTGTACTTTCTTGGAAGCACATTTATGTATCAATACACTGTACAACAAGAACAATAACAACAATAATAACAATAATAATAATATAACTTTATTTTTATAGCACTTATCAAATAAAAGTATGAAGTGCTTCATATAATATAAGAAAATCCATTTTACTACTACTAAAGTAAACTAGTGGTAGTAGTATTAGTGTTATATTATGAGTATGCACATTTACTTAAGGACCGTATTCAGTTTTGAGGTAATTGTACTTTCTGCTACTTTGTCCTATTGTTTTTACTCCACTAAATGTATTTAAAAGCTATTGTTAGTAGCTACTTTGCAGATTAAGATACAAAACATATGATGACTTATGACTTATGATGCACAAACAGTTTGTACAAACAGTCTAAAAAGTAATTAAAATGAGCGCCACCTCAACCATATACAAAGTTAAAATGCTTATTCTTACACCTTTATGCATCACATATCAGTAATGGTAATACAGTAACAGAATATTTAATGATGTAATTCTGATAGGAGCCACTCTGCAGCACAATTTTACTTTTGATTCTTTAAGCAGGTCAACACTGTGATGATAATTTGACATTTGTAATTCTACAGTTGTAAGATTACAAATGCAGAACTTGTGGCCTATTTGAAACGGAGCATTTTTACATAGCCTATTTGGGGATGTTGTTTGGCCTACTTGTGTGATCTGAAAATACTACATCTCAGTAGCGTAGGCTATAGCAGACAGACAAGTTGTGTGAGCGAACTGCAACGATACTGTGGAATTGCCTTGGTAAAACTAAACGTGATTCAGAGGAAAACACAGAGAGGGAAAAAACAAACCAACTACCAGTTTAAAACATTGACTGACACAATGAATATTTACTTGTGTTTGTTACTTGTGTTTGCACATGCAAGACTCAAACAAACGTCTGCAAATAACGTCTTTCACAGATTTGACCCATTGTTCTGTTTTACTTTTAACGGTAACGTTATTGCCGCTATTACATAATAGTGGCCGATGCTTCCTTACTGTAATACAGTGGTAAACTTCCGTGTCGGAAAGCCGTTAATTTCGGGCCGATTAACAGTCAAAACTTTACCACAAAATGACAAGAGCTCTGTTCCTTGCACTAGGTCATGAAACTATAACTGTTATCACTTTCCTTGAAAATGAAGAGAGCAGCTGCTCATGAATTGCTGGTCATGAAATTAGGGTAACTGTTAACACTTTCCTTGAAATGACAAGCTGGTCCTTGCACTGGGTTATGAGTAGGCTATGGGCCAGGCTACTTGCCAGCTTGAGACCTCCAGAATTTGTAACGGGGGACGGGTTGAAATAGCCTACGGGAAATCGGGAGAATTGTAGCCTATCCGGAGGGGTGAAATGAAAAAGACTAACCAGCTCAACAGCATTTCCCATCACACAGTCATTTGTGTGGGCGTGTTTCTGAGGAGAGGGGGTATCCCAGATTCGAGGAACTCCGCCGTCTCTTTAAAAATGAAAGCCAACACAGAGAGACGTTTGTTGAGTTGAAGTAAGGAGGAAGCTCCACGATACACCGATCTGTTGCATGACCTGCAGGTAAGACCATTTTATTGACTGATAAGCAGGAGTAGCCTACAGGTTTGCACAACTTTAAAACTTAAGTTGTGTATAATAATTATTATTGTTGACATCATTACAATGAGTTGCCTATTAAGTCCAATACTTGATGGTATTGTGATGGTAGAAGTGTTAAATGAGTAGGCCTATTTGATTATCTTTTTAAAATAGTCAGTTTTTTATAGCTCTGTAGCCTGAAGTCCAAAACCGTTATAAGTAAACATGTCTACAACAAGCTTTATTTTTAAATAGCCTAATAACCTAATACTTAACTTAATATCTTTAATTTAGCGAAACAGTTGACAGAGCTTATCATCAATGGCATCACCCACATTCAAAGTGTTCTGTAGAACTGCAGTATAGTCATTTCCATTTAACTGGAAATCAGCACAAAAAATTACTAATGTGCTTATCACTCAACAGTTCACCCAATAAAACATTTCTTTGAGGGCTGACCTCATTTCAAGAAATCAAAACATGTTAAGAAATGCAGGTGTCTTCTTTTCCAAGAAGCCTGATAACACCAGCAGATAAATTAGTTTGCAAGCAGCTGTTTTTTGGGGGTGTATGTCTGTGTTGTTGTGTGTTAACACAGCTCTAATGAGGTAGAGCCAACAATCCCTGAGCTACTTTGGTTCCTTTAACAAGAATAAACCAATAAGGGAGTCATTGGGTGGCAGAGTTGAGTCATGATTAGATAAGCAAAAACAACACATGGCTCACCAACATGTAATGCTGTGATTATTTGTCCCATGTCACTGGCTTTTTGATTGAGTAAAGCACGTAAACTAGATCAAACGTTTTGTGGATCTGGAAAAAACTGAATCAGGCCTTCTTCAGAAAAGTGACTCATGTAGCCAAAAACACTGGCCAAAGATTTCAACATATTTAAAACTTCCCTTTGTTTCCTCCTTAGGTCTCAATGGACTGGACTTTTGTTGTGGTTTTACAAGTCATGTTTCAGACATCTTTCTCAGGTATTTGGAAAACAGCAGTGGAGATATCTATGAATAAATAAGAGCACACAGAAATTGTATATACATGAACCCTTTTTATTTCTATTTGACACACAAGCTTACAAGTTCACAACTGCAAAGCAAAACCATGTAGTGAGCATAACCCAATGTTTTGTATTCCTTCATTGGTAAACATTTCAGGGCTGTGGAGCACATTTACATTTATGTTTAC